GTTCAAATCTCACGTCATACTCCGTACAGCGGCGGGACCTAATCTGCTGCTGCTGCTAACTAGGTTGGGAACAAGTGAGTGGTCCTTGTTCCCCTGGACGCTTCAGAGCATGTGACACCAGAATCGATTACAGTAAAATATTATTTTTAACACAAACCTTTTTTTGTCACTAACCACAGCAACAATATAAGCTAAGTAGCAGAAATGCCTAAAAAAGGCACAAAAAAAATCCTATTTAAAAATTAAATCATTTAAAATTGTTTTCTCTGGACCAGTTTTTTTTACTACTGTACATTTTTTCTTCCATATTTATTTTACTATATAAATAATATTTTTTATTATTATTTATTTTGCTTTTGTTTTTGGCCATTTTTGGTAGATTTCACCTTTTTTATTATTATTCATTTAGTTAGTTAGTTCGTTAGTTAATCAGCTGTTTACCTTAAAGATGAATTGAGAACTAATAATGATAATTGTAATGACTTATTTTAGACACTTAAATACCTCCTTGCCTCCACCCATACTAACTTTTACTGTTGCTTGATGGTGTATTTTGTGAGGTTGAAGTGAGTCTGACAGGCAAGGAAACAGGGAAAAAGAAAAGGAAACGAGTCGGTGTGACGTACGACCAGAGCTGCGTACAGGACAGACAGTGTGGGACGTGAGAAAAGAAGACACTAAACATCCAGGACAGTAATGAGAAGAGACACATAATAGATCAGAGCGGACTGGTGCGGACGGTGATTAATTCAAGTGGTGATAGCAAGCTGTTTTAGCAGGTAGCAGCCAGGAGCGATTCTAATAGGCTAACAGACAGGTTGACAAACGGAGGGACTGACTAACCAACTGACTCGATGTGAGGCACACTAGGCAGCCAGACGGATGGATGGACAGGCTGACAGCCAGGACGGCATCCAGGCAAACGGGGAGCCAGTGTCATCCCACTCTGAGAGAGCAGGAGGGGCAAGAAGGGTTCATATTCCCTGAGACAGGTGGCAGGGACATGCCACCGCTGCCACCTGGCACCCGCCACCCAGACTCCGTCCATCCCTTGTTCTTTCTCTCAGCCATAATATTGCGGTCCGCTCTTGACCTGGTCTGTTTCCAGAGCCCCCGCTGTGGCAGTGAAGCAGAGCACTGTTCTCCCAGTTTGGTTTACTTAAAGGACAGAGAACTGCCCGCTTTAACGGCCGCGTCCTCCCCGTAGAGGAGTGAATTGGCCGAGCAAGCGAAAGGCGGCGTGATAATAATGATTAGTAACTGCAGCAGTTCTCGGGCTCGGAGGAGCGTGTAGTTATGAATATGGGCTCCATCAGTCACGGCCAACTCTGTGTGGGCAGGTTGAAGGTTGGGGGTTGCACTCTGGACTCCTGCGTCCCCTCCGTAGCAGAGGCCACCTGTTCCCTTTCACCACTCCGTCTGACCACAGCCTGCTAGCACCACACGGGCTAATTAAACTCAGTGTGGCACATACACTCTCACTCCCACACACACACACACACCCACACACACACACGCAGAAACACGCTTCACGCATTGTGTGAATTCCATAACACACACAAAGAGGAATCCTCCCACTCTTATTCGACTGGAAGACGATGAAGTGTTGAAAGCAAACATTCTCTAACGCCGTTTCACAAACAATTGTAACACGTGCCCGCACACACACACACCCACACACACACACGCAGAAACACGCTTCACGCATTGTGTGAATTCAATAACACACTCAAAGAGGAATCCTCCCACTCTTATTCGACTGGAAGACGATGAAGTGTTGAAAGCAAACATTCTCTAACGCCGTTTCACAAACACTTGTAACACGTGCCCGCACAAACACACACACACACACCCACACACACACACGCAGAAACCCGCTTCACGCATTGTGTGTGAATTCAATAACACACACAAAGAGGAATCCTCCCACTCTTATTCGACTGGAAGACGATGAAGTGTTGAAAGCAAACATTCTCTAACGCCGTTTCACAAACAATTGTAACACGTGCCCGCACACACACACACACACACACATCCAGGACGTGATACTGCCAACACTGTGTCCCACATTGGAGTAGGCAGCTCCATTTGGCTCCAGTCCACTGCTCTGATCTCAGTTCAACATTTCTGAGGTCTTTCACCAAGTGCAGGACAACACTGTCCCCGAAGAGTTTTCTCTCTCTCTACTTCTTTACTGTGGACCGGTGTGTGACCAGTCTACTCTGCAGCACCTTCACAAATGTTCCAGGGATGAATAAAGTTGTACCTACAGTAGGAGTCAAACCTTTGTCAGTGTGGCCTTCAGGAAACTCTTGTTTCTCTACAGATCAAATCAATTTTTCCACTTTTACTAAAAATTTCCGTGGAGAGGAATAACTTACCAATTTTTTTTTTGCCCTGTGAAATTAGTTTTGGGCAGTGGTGGCTTAGTGGTTAAGGAAGTGGACTTGGGTCTAGAAGGTTTCAGGTTCAAGTCCACCAGCTGCCAAGTTACCACTGAGGTGCTCTGAGCAAGGCACCGTCCCCTCGTGTGAGACATGTGTCTCACATGGAATGAAGTCACATAGTGCTACTAAATTTTAATTTTTTTTAGATTACAAAAATTAAATCCCTGGAATTTCAAATTATATCTACATTATTATTATTATTATTTTCATAAGGACTTTTGCATGAACTTTACATCATACACCCTGTGACCGGCATAAAAAATTCACCTGACACAAACCCCATAATACCTTTTTGTTGATTGTCCACCAAGTACTTTACTTCTACTATCTTTTACATATTCATGTTTTTTTAAATTACAAAACACAATTTTATTAAACGATCAAATGACTCGTTTGATGGATTACAATCACATTTTTTACTTTGACCTAA